CGGAAGAGATATGGAGTGACGATGAAAAGGCAGGTTTAGAACGAAGGTTATTAATTTTTCGCCAGCAGGAAAACATTTATGATCTGGAGGTTCTATCGGAAAGGAGCAACTGTATTGTCGGAAGAAATCAACGCATCATTACAATAATTACGATCGATTTTTTTAAAATTGTTCATTCGGTGTTGTTCGAGGTGTTGTTGCATCCTTTTCCAACTATACTTCCTGCATGAAACACAATACCTGTGATTATACTGGATACTGAATAGTTCTTATCTCACCTCGCTGAACATTTTCCCTTTCTGGTTGTCAATTTGAGAGCTTTCATAGTTTATATCAACAGTAATATCACAATTGAGTTAACGATGAGAAACAAAATCATGAGAAGATTATCATAACAGAGTGGTATTTTGGCATTTTGCAAGACTATGCCACGAAGTATTAAGAAACATTTATGATGAATGTTCAAGCCATCTAATAACCAAAACGATTCAACCCGGCGTCACCCAGGTGGAAAATCGGTACATTCTCACCCAGATAGGGTACGATGTACCCCATAATTAGAAACTCGAGAAAAAAAAAATAGTAGATTGTTTTATTAGGATCAAAAGTGACACTTTGTTTGACAAGCGAATTTTGCATTTGCGAGGCGGAGCGTTTAGCGAAGCCGAGCGAAAGCAAAATTTGCGAGTTGAACAAAGTCACTTTTGATCCGAATGAAACATGCTATTTTTTCTGCAACCGAAACAATTAACTCAAATAAATATATGTCAGGTTACCACCAATGCCCTGCCATATGTATGCAATGCAACAAATAATGACAAAAATATAATCCGTGTGGTGAGAATATTCTACCTGCATTAACAGCAGGTTAGGTTTTCAAGGATGTTCGAATTGTAGTTTCAATAATAAAAATACAACCACAGAGTGACATAATCGTGTATGGACCAGGTGCTCTTATGGCAAATACCGCGCCAGTGCCAGCTATATCGGAACAAGACGTGGAAAATGTTAGGTTAGCGAGCATATCAACAATGATAATAGTGATTATTTATTCCTCTCCATACTACACTGTGTTTGACTTGATAATCGAATGAAGCTAAACAATATCGTTGTTTGAGACAAAAAACTGTTGCTTGCCGTGAACAAGAAGTTATCCATCCCGAGAATAACGAATGAAATGCAGATCAAGCAATTATTAGAATCTTGAAGGCTTGCCTGATCAAACAGAAATACTCAGCTGAGATGTTTATAATTCCAATACTAAACTATAATAAGGTGTATTCATATCTCCAGCATGCGTATGAAATGCCAAATCTGCTGAAATCGGGAACAAATCATGTATGCGTCTCAAACCAAAAAACCAACCGTCACAATGTTGTTTATTCTTGATGACGTCCAGTACATCCTTTTTAGTTCCTAGGAGCTAAAGTTCAACTTTAGCTCCTAGGCACTAAAATTCAACTTTAGCTCCTAGGAACTAAATATGTTGCCTAGCAACATACCTATTTTTGTGTCAGTAATAGAAACGTCAATTTAAGAGCTAATTTTTGTATCAAAATGGACGACTTTTGTGTCGGTTGCAGAAAAACAATTCTAATATTTCTAGATTTGTATGTGAAATGAGTTTTTAGATTTATTCACTTCATGATTATAATCAGGAACTTTTTATAATAAGTTTAATGAGATATCATGAAAGGCATATAGATGGTGATCTTTAAAAACTGTTTAAAAATATAAAACACTCAATTCTGAAAGATTTCATGCAAAACTGATTATTAAAATGTTCAAGTTATCAGAAAAGTGATATGTAGTATAAGAAGAAAAAAAAAAAAGATCCATTTTCTTATGGGAATTCACATGTATCTCTTGAAATAAAATATATATCTCTGTTACACAGTTGGGGCGTCTCAGACCCCAAAGCTGTTCACTGCACTGTCACTATCTTGCTAACTAACTAAAATTGAATTCGCACCTGAATATGACAGAACCAAGTGTTTTGGGAAGCTGTAGGCAACCAAAGGAATGTGCATGCATGCAATTGAAATGCCAGTGATTTAAAATCTGTCTGGCTATCTGAGAACCTGGGCGACGCCGGGTTATTTGTAAAAACTTAACAAACGATGAGATTTCGACAAAATTCTCAGTCACACGACATGTGCAGTAGCTTCATCAGGTGGAATACTGGAACAATGAAATAAAGTAACCTTGGGTTTCCTCAGATTATATATGTCCTACTTTCCCTACCTGTAAGATTAAAATTACCTGTGGAATGGTTCGATGAACCTTCATTTCCGGAAAATAGGTACAATTTTCGAAAATGATAGTTTATCGAACCTTTCCACAGGTAATTCTAATCCTTCAGGTTGGGAAAGTGGGATAAATATATAAGTTTAGACAAGCCAAGGTTAGTTTATTTCATTGTACCAGTATTTTACCTGATGAATCTGCTGTGTTAGCGAAACATGTCGTGTGACTAAGAATTTTGTGAAAATCTCATCGTTTGCGAAATTTTTATATTTGCTATGGATATCCATCAAGTAACGGCCGAGTTAATTAAAAAAAAACGAATTCATTTTGACATACACAGCTATAACTATTTTATATCACAGTGACAGATTCTGCTTCGATATCCATGGTTACATTGTTGAAAACATCAACGCTGATAGACCAACCAGGATTGATAGACAGCTTGTGATTGGTCAGATTATGTGGTAATTTTGAGATGAGCGAAATAGTCATGTTTAGTTTAGTTTACTCTCACTGTTGTTCATCAACAGAGAAAAAAATAGCAATTAAAATATGAAGTATCAACATTTTTCGAAATTCTACAGGGTGTTTCGAGAGAATGCCCTGTTGCTAGGATAGCTATCGTAATGGTAGTATCGTAATGGTAGCCTATCAAGATAATGTTTATATAATAGATGATCTTTGATAGACGTAAGAATAGCCTTAAGTTAGCTTTGACAATCATAATCTCCAACTTCAGATGTAACATCAAATCTTCCATAAGTATCATCCCAGAAGTCTGTACATTTGTACATGCTGCTTAACTCAACTTACTGATAATTTTCATTATCATTATATTTCGATCTTAAAATGATGAAGTAATGGTGGATGATGCTGGTATAAAGTATCATTCAAAACAATTAGGTACCTAAATATTCAAAAACACATCATTCTAATGCTTAAATCAAAGACTATGAACAGCTAAGAATTACAAGGAGAAAATGGAGATTAATTTGTATAGAAACATGAAATATCCATTCAGTTAGAGTAAATATGAATCATCCTTGTGATTTTTTGTTACATTAATAACTTCAACATCAAAAAAGTGATATGGTTTTTGATTTTTAATGAATAGGTTATTGTTTTTACCTACGGTCACTATAGAAAGTAAGCAATAACACACAAGATACAGCATCAGTGAGTAGCTCTTTACGCACAGTAAGCACATCGCACAGTTTTCGTTTATTCCGCCAGTATAGGTACGTCATGATCGCGTAATCGCCGTCAACAGCGTCAAGAATTATAACTCAGACTGTTTATCCAAACTTTTTTGATGTACTAAGTAGGTGAAGTATAGTACGTAATGCGTGTTGTAAAGCAATTACGCACTCGCCGCTACGTGCTTAACATTTCCATTCGTGCGTAATATGCTTCTTAAAACACATATTACGTGATATACTATTAATTATACTCACTTCATACCAGAATCAGTTATCACTTCATCATATTGCAGATGTTCTACTCATCGTAAACTGATCACCTTTCTTAAAACATCCTCTATGTCAGAGTTGTCACCTGGTATGGAAAGCCAAAGTGCAAAAATGGATAAAAACGATTTATGAAGAAAACAATACATGAAGTCATTTCGTTGATTGCATACGCCAAAATTGATAATCTTTTTTGTTTCAGACTGTCAGCAATATTCAGCATAACAAGAAGCAAAACAATCTGCTCGTTCACCAGAATAGCTTAACTGCAGCCGACATCCGTTTTCTCGAATCAAACAAAACCATACTAGCACAACTTTTTTCAAGGAGCGTTCGTTAAAGTTTTAATCTAAAAATAACGCGCCGATCCACAAGCGAGAGAGGACACCCAATTAAAAACGAATCACTGATGAAAAAGCGAGAGACAAACACATAATTAGAAAAACGAGTTCGAAAAGAAAGCACGCGCAGTTCTGCGGGCTGCCACTGACCGTGTGATTTTTCATCATATTTTGCAGTGAACGCGCATTCTACTTGTAAAAACCCAGAGAGCGGCGCTTTTTCACCACCCGCATATCAATTTGTCAAAAAACGCGGCGTTACAAGTCACACGCGCTCACATGCTCCCAGGATCATCGGGCGCAAGATATAAATCTAGTGACAACTGGAGGAGACAGTTGAATAAAGAAAAGAATCACACGGATACCCTGTGAAAAATTGATAACTGTGCCATGAACATACGAAAACATCATCAACACGTCTGGTGAAACTGTTTGTGTATCTTCATATAGTGACAGAAGAAGAACGGCTCGATGATAAAAAGAGGAGAATTCAGATACCGAACGGCTGATACAAATACTGTAAGTCTCTGGCTATATTCAAGTATCGCATAATCAATTATTGTCAAAAATACGTTCAGCATATCGGAGAAACATGTTGGAATGAAATAACAAAAATATTCAAATGATGCTTGTTGAAAGTTGAGTAAATCTCTGGCTCTCTGGATATAAATAAAATATGGAAGATATTCACAACTCTACAATATTTTGAAGCCTGAACTCCAATGTGTATAGGAAAGAAGTCTGGCAACTGAGAAGGGTAATCATTTGGTAGCAAAACATTTTGATAAAAGGTGAAGCAGTTTTCCACCTCAGCAAGACCTCCATGTGAGCAAGACTTTTAGGAAGAAAAACTACACGTAAAAACTGATTCGCTTTAGCCACTGAAATAGCAAAATCAACTGTCGAAAACAGTCCTGGGTAAACTTGAAAACACTAAGCGATATGATTTCGGAAGAAACCCCTAGCCAGCCTGTCGGGCGTTGAACCTCACGATGCCCAGCAAATCCTGAACGCCGAAAATGCATCTAGCCAGCGAGGTGTCCTCTACCACGGGCCACTACGACCGCACGTACCGAAACCTGACCGCGGAAATGCTGGCGGAGCGCACCATAGACGGCCTCCTTGCGGAACACCCGGGCGAGCTGATCAGGACCGGCTCGCCGCACGTCGTCTGCACGGTACTCCCGCCCCACTGGCGGTCCAATAAGACGCTGCCGCTGGCTTTCAAGGTCGTGGCTCTAGGAGATGTCGGAGATGGCACCGTGGTGACCATCAAAGCAGGGAACGATGAGAACTATTGCGCGGAGTTGAGGAACTGCACGGCGGTGATGAAGAACCAGGTGGCCAAGTTCAACGACTTGAGGTTCGTTGGGAGGAGTGGTCGAGGTGAGTAGACTCTCATGATATTCTTTTCGTGCTGGATCAATATCCAGATTGATCTTATCATCGTCATTTGCCTCTTTTGGAAGCCGTTCGATTCTATTTTCGTGGCACTGTGTACTATGAGTACTTCATCAATTTTGTCTCATTTTGACCATTTTGTCCATGAAAATATCTATGAGGAAAGTTGAGATTCAGAACACCGAAAATGGTCGTTCTCAAGGTCATCTTTCTCGAACAAGCGATCTTATCGCAAGCCATGATCAATTGATTGCATCTACAATAGGTCGCGTGCACGAAGACCGACCCTGGAGGCAAAATATTGAAACACAACCTCATTCTTCTGTGAATTATTGAAACACAACCTCACTTTTTTATTTGGTTACAGAGGAATCAAAATGTTGAAATAGTTTTCCACAATATTCTGGCATACGAATCGTGTTTCTTGCGTTATTCATTAATTCAAGCATGCCTTCGGATTGTGCTGTTGTACAATGCACAAAAAATGCAGCAAGAGACTAGGGAATATGATTTTTCAGGTAAATAGTAATCTCACATAGTTATCATTATGAAATGTTGTCATTCCTCATTAAAATTCCTTCTGCCTTCTGCCACTTCTGCAATACAAGCTAATGCTGCTAATAGATTGAAAATGTCTACAACACACACGATCGTCAGCATGACAGACCAGTCCCCCCCAATTGATTGCATGAATCCAATCTTCTTGCATTATTCTAGAAATTTCAGTTATATTTCTATTAGCTCCTATTGCAGAAGGAATTCCGATGAGAAATCAGAGAAATAACCAAATTTCAGAAATGAAAACTATGTGAGTGACTATAGTTGGTACTTACTTTTAAATCATAATGTACCATCCGGATTGCTTTATCTTCTGCTGCAGTTTTTGTGCATTTTACAACAGCACAATGTGATGGCATGAGCGAATTGATAAATAGCGAAAAAATACGATTCATATGCCAAACAATTGTGGAAAACTATTTCAATCACTTGTAAACAAATAAGAAAAGTGACATTGTGTTTCAATGTTTTGCCTCCAGCGTCGGTCATCTGACAGTTCTTGCACGCAACCCATAGGTTAGGTTAGGTTGGGTTAGGTTCCATGTGAGTGGGGAGGATACCACCCTTCCACTGCGACCCCAGATAGGTCTATTATGTTTCACCTCTAGAGGTTACAGTTCACTGTACAATCGACTTCTTTTTATAGAGTCCATGATTGGATGAGATGAGATTTGTCTGAAATCGATAGGTTCTAAATTGGTAAAGCCAAATATGTTGAACATGATTCTCTTTAAGCAAGAGCTTGAACATAGTATGTGTTCAGCCGTTTCGACTTCCACACAGCAGAACCGACATTCCACTTGTTGGTTCAGACTCATCCTTTCTAGGTGGTTTCCTAGACGACAGTATCTCTTAAGCAGTCCTGTCAGAATTTGCAGGTTACACCTGCTGCATTCTAGGATCTTCCTGGTTTTTTTTCTCTCAATGGTTTGGGCATCAAAAATAACAAGATGAGGGACAATTTCTATTCAGTTTCTTCATGCAGTTCGTGGGGAGAGTCAGGGTACTCAAGATCTACTCACAAGATATACTCTTCCGGTGCATAGTCAGGTATTGGTGTTACATCTATGTGGATTTCTGGCCATATAAACCCTCCATAAGGAAGGCTCTTCGACATTGCCATTAAGATTATTAGCACTGTTGAATAGAGAAGATGCGCCGAAAGGGTATATCTTGCACGATAGATAGATGTTCCATTCCACGTTGTGACTGATCGATCCTGGCTTGCGGCTAGAACTCTTGTTCGAGGCAGATGACCTAGAGAACAACAATTTCTGGTATCTTTGACCTCAACTTTTATTATGGAGGTTGCATGAAAAAAGTGGTCGAAATGAGGCAGAATCGGTAAAGCATGTTTACTACTATAACCTTTCGTTGGGACACGGTGTCCTAGTGATCCAGGTCGCTCGAACTCGCTAGACAGCCATTCACGATGCCAAGGCGCTGTCGGTTCGGATTCAGCTATCATCTGAGAATATTTTCTTGAGAATATGTTGTTCTTGGTTGCAATTCTGTTTGTTTTTTTTATGTTCTGGTTCCCACAGAAAGGGATATCCTGTAATGTTTAGAGAACATCGTGAGAACCAAGGAAAATAAGGTAGAAATTGATACTGTATGCAATTTATCTTCATGGTCCTTCCTAGGTTCACAGATATCTCATGTAATTGGCTCAAAATGTCCGGATGAATTGACAGTTTTCTATTGTGGACTTTGAAACCCTGTAGCATGATCACATTGGTGACCAAAAGCCTCACAAGGAGAGCTCTTTAGCACACAGAGACGGGCTGGTCTGGTGAGACTGGTATTGATACTGTCAGAACAGACTCTCTACGATTGAATGACTCAATGAATTGTTTCTGGTCTGGGTTCCTGGTCACTCTGATATGGAAGGTAACAAAACGGCAGATTACCTTGCAAGGGAGGGTGGTGCAAGTAGTTGAATGGGACCAGAACCTGCAATTGGCATATCACTAAGTTTTACCGAAGATATACTGAACTCCTGGACCGCAAGAAGATTTTCAGAGTTCTGGTAGAATCTACCAGGATTAGCTCATTCCGACGCATTTAAACACCCTCCGAAGAATACAGCAGGGATGACCTACGCTTTTTAACGCCCTTCTTACAGACCACTGTCGTCTGAATATCAAATGTCAAGACTTGGGCTGTAGGATGATCCATCTTTTTTTTTTTCATTTTTTCATTACACTATTCAACAGATACAAGATCCAATTACAGAATAGGAATATACTAAGTGTATTACTGAAATTATTTTCTTAATACATAAAATTACACATTGGAACAAACAGAACAGTCCAGTTTTTTCATAAGGATGCCAAACTGCAGCAAAAGATGTCAATGGTTTCATTCATCGTATTATATATCGAACACATCTTGTAAACAGGTGCATGGAATTTAACATTAGTGCGACAAAGTGGAAGGTAAAAACTATTATTTCTCCGGGTTGTGAGTCTGGGAACATGAAAGTGTATCATCTCCAAAATGCAGCTGCAGTCCAAATTGTTCCGGATAACATTGAAAAGGAATATAACATGCGACCTATTTCGACGATCTAGAAGTGAAGCAACTGAAAATCTTGAAAGAAGTTGATCATGTGGATGACCTACATCTGGGTAGTTGCCATCAAGTTTAAAACATAAGTACTTCAAACATTCTCGTTGGATATTTTCCAAATTAGATATATGTACCTGATAATGAGGTGCCCAAACTATTGATGCATACTCTGAATTCGATCTAACAAATCTGAAATATGATTGCAGAAGCATTTTCTCATTTCTTCCAAAATTTTTTGATACTCTAATAATGAATCCCAAAGATCTATACGTTTTTTTGATGACTTGCTCGATATGATTTCCAAACGATAGTTTTTTGTCAAATATTACTCCTAGATCTTGGAAAGTTTCAGGTCGGTTCAATACGACATTGTCTAGTTTATAATTGAAAATAATTGGATTCACCTTGGCGGTAAAAGACATAACATGACATTTGGAGACATTAAGAAATAAGTTATTCTCGATGCACCAGGCATTGAGTCTGTTAAGATCGTGTTGTAGAACAGTACAATCCTCTTCGGTGAAAATTTCATGGTATATCTTAAGATCATCAGCATACAATAGGTGATTGATGGTGAGAGTATCTACAATGTCATTGATGAACATTATGAATAATAAGGGCCCGAGGTTAGACCCCTGGGGCACACCTGACGTAGGTAGGACTTCAATAGACCTATGACCATGGAAGCTGACATACTGCTTTCTATCAAGAAGGTAAGATTGGAAAAATGATGTGAGATTTGGAGTTAGTCCATAGTTCGAAAGTTTGTGAAGTAGAGTTCCATGGTCCAGCCTATCGAATGCCTTCGAAAAATCTTGTCGTCTTTGCCCTGAGATGATGAAACAGCAGAGCATGTACTTTTTCAAACATACAACAAACTGTTCGGAGATGCACTCTGTGTCTGCCCTACCGCGGCAAGAATATGGTTTTCACTGTTCGACAGGGTTTCACTGTCACCATCGAACTTGAAAGATCTCTCACCAAATAAACTCATCGGCTTCATTAGGAAGCTGGAACCACTTGGTGTTGTATCCTTACGGGTCGTAGTGGAGGGCTGAATAGACCTACCTACTTGTAATCTTACCTAACCTGCACGGCACACCATGAAAATATCTACTAGCTGTTTTTCGAAATCGTATAAACTTGAAGAAATTTCTGAAGTGAATAGACGCCAGCAAAGTTTTTTTTTTCACTATGATGAAGTTCATTCCAAAAAATATTCGATTGAGGAGAAGCATTTATATGAGAATGAAAGAAAGCTCATATAGTGGTTGAATGATTTTAATCTTATATTATTGAAATGAATACACATATCAATAAAGCTTGCCAATGGTTTGAATTCATCGAGGAACTTATACACCAAGGTTTGTGAAGAATATCATTATTACCCAGGGACCATGATTATATCCCGAGGCTACAGCCGACGGGTATATATGGTTTCGTAATATTTTTCACTAGCAAGGTGTATATTGCATTTTTTTCACCACTAGTAATATATATCAATATAACTGTAATAGAGACCTAATGTCACGCGCTTCTCTTCAGTTATAATCAAAATCGAGTAGCCATGACTATGACAGCATATGAAATGTATTTATACCAACTAAATTCGATTGTCATTCCTGTGAATCACGCATCAGAACAGTGAATCCTGGTTGATTATCACAGAGGTGACTATGTCTCCATTGACTAGTTGTTCTTAAAATGATGAAAACTACCTTAGTAGTAAAAACACACTTCACGCCTTGTGAAGGAGTGAATAATTGTAGGCTATATAGTGGTGAAAAAACTCATTTGAGATTTATTCGTGAGTTATTGATGCATGAATGGCGAAATTCTTTACAAAGCCAAACCCG